TTTCTTCTATATAACATCTCACAGGTTTTGATCGACACTTTTTTTACATTGTTCATTGACGCGCAGTGTTACTGCACCTATGATAGAGTTCATCAGAGAGAATGTAAGAAGTCTCTCCTACATCCAGAGGATCGGTGCTCCACTGCTGCTGGGACTAACCTTTGCTCCACCACCTTCGCTTTAATCAAAGTGTTGCAGCAGTAAGGCACATATAGGGTCTTTCCAGTTGAGTGCCACATACCAAAATACAACCTCCCAAAACTGTGATTTTCCCTTTTACTTAACTTATGCACGAGCATCTTTAACTTTGGATGTGTGGTTATTAACTGTAAACTCTTGCATGAACCGCTCAGTGTTTACAATACCTCAAAATAACGGTTGCAAAGATATCTGGATCTGTATCTTTTTTCTGACAATGTCTTATCACCAACCATCTATTATGTGTACATGTGTTTTAAAGTGTGATATAACACAAGCTAAATTAGCAAGTTCTTACAAATACAATTACATTAGGTAAAAATTGTTGTTTGACTGCGATTGGTTCCTCAAAGTTGAGCTCAACCCTGTCCACTCGACCAGAACAAATATAATATGTATATACATAAATATACACTGTCATAAAACATTTTTTTACATGTTACATTTTCTTCAATTCTAAGTATAATAACACGTGTCTCGTTTCATTTAGGTGAACTTCTAGATTAAATGGCTAAGTATTATTCAGTATCTGACTGCAATGGTGTGACAAAGAAGAGAAAAGTGATATGAAAAGGCAATTTATTCAAATAAAGGGAGCAGGTCTGTGGGGATCTCTCGACAGGAGAGCAAAAGGTGCCGGGTTAATACTCCGAGACTGGCAATTGAAAATGTGTGGACAGGGACACATTCTTTCTATCTGGGAGGTCATTTGGAAATAGAGTGCTGAGTAGCCTTCTCTCTGCCCCTGACTGGAAGGCTGTCTTTCTTGCTCGCTCTCGATTTCTCTCCTCTGTGCCCCTGACCGCGAAACTCCATAAAGAGTGATGGATGTTGATGGAGACACAGGGTGGTGATTATGGATCATCGCAGAGATTCGAGGAAGGACGCAGACGGACGGAAACTGAGAAAAGAGGGAGACTCCTGCAGCCTTACAATGGTTAAAGACTGGATTTAATCTGTTTCTTCTAGATGGAGCTGTTGCGCCACTGAGTGGTGAAATGTATAACTGCTACCACTAAGGTTATTACGAAAATATATACAATATTTCGAATTGAAACTTTCATATAACATTCAAAAACAATGATACTCTGTATTAATTAAATGGATGTTTTAATGTTCCTCTTTAAGAGGTGTCAGTTTGAGATCAAAACTGCTAAATTTGTCTTGGAAGAAAGTGAAGTGTCCTTTATACTTTTTCCATATTCAAGTCACATTTTTGATTATTAACCACTGTCTTTTTGGCTTGTCATGATATGAGTGATTTCAAACACAATACTCCTTATGCAGCAGAATGGTCCCTGTCATATTTATATAATTATATTTACATTAAAGGTCCCATGTCATGCTTTTCCGGTTATTAACCGTCCTCTTGTTTGTTATGAAGGTTTTTATGCAAACGGTCTGCAAAGTCACAAACCCTCAAAGTACACTCTGTAGTGAGTAAAACTCTAACACAGAAAAGACCTGTCTATGCTGCCCCAGAACGCCTCGTTGGAGATTTCTCTTTTTCTTCCTGGGTACAGTGACGTGCCCATACCCAAATGGACCCATTGGTCCAAATGGACCAATCCGCGGACTTCCTCACACACACACTCAATCTTTTCTCAGCTGCAGCTCCACCGATTTCTCCTCCCTGAGATGGCAGAACGCGGCGAGGCTGTGAGTCGGTGTGTGTGAGCAGTTCACACACACAAACTCCCAGCCAGGCTGCGGGTGTGTGTGTGTGTGTGTTCGGGCTGGTTTCGGGCTGGGTTTAGCTGTGTCTCGCTGTCTCGCAGACGGCCACTGGGCTCATAGAGAGGGGGGGTGCAGGAGCTCCAACAAGCCGTTTAGGACAGAGAGTGAATACACATACTATACAGAGATGCTGTATGAGAAACCAATGTCATTTTGGAAAATTGCACAATATAAATCTATTTTAGTATACCTCAACAATGGAATTATGATCAGTAGAAATGGCCATGACATGGGACCTTTAACAAACTAATATTTGTGTGGGTAATCACACACATCCAATCCTTTAGGGTGCCAAGCCAAACATGCCAAATCTACAGCTGTCAAGCAAACATAGTAATAAAGTTCAATATTTCCCTCTGAAATGTAGTGGAGTACAACATGAATACAAAACTGGAACTGGAACTACTTAATTTAAGAAAAAGGATGAGCAAAAAAGCCAAAAGTGACATTAACAGAAGAATGTTAATGGATAAAAAGTAAGAAGAAAAGTGATTTAAACAACACTGAATCTGCGGTGTGACATTCCCAGACTGAGTGTTCCAGAGGGAGGCCCTGAGAGCAGAACGTCTGTTCAACTTAAGTCTCAAACTGGGGCTGAGGGAGGTTAGAAGACCCTGCCCGAGGAGCTCCCCATGCTCGCTGGCTCACAAAATGTCGGCAATTTAGCTAATGCATGTGACTAAGGTTTCCTGAAGGGAACAAGTACATCACTGGTATGGGATAGGCTGAAGCCTTTTAATCACATCTGACAAGTGAATGGGTGTAGAATACATCAGGGGAAAGTCTCGCCCTTCTCTTGGTCATATATCTAAAGTGATGCAATTTTTTCTTTGCATTTCTCTTTTTCTGCACTGTTCTTGACGAGTGGTTCCGCCCAAAGGCTCAGAAACACTGTCTGAGTGTTTCATTACTCTGTGAGGCTTGATTGTAATGCAGATCCCACTTACTCTTTTTGGTTCGCGTTTCAATCATTACAGTGATGGACTCAGTTCTTAAAATAAAACTCTATACTATAGCGACGCACTAAATATGAAACTGCTTCCCCTGTAGTGAGGACTAAGGCAACAAAAACATGTGAATACATACAAAACATCATTTTAAAGTGGATTGAAGGGTATTGAGATGGATGTCACAGAAATGTCTGTGTTTTTTATGCTATTTTTCTTTTAAATGGAATCATCGCCTTGAGGTGTATTTTCAGCTGCTGTCATGAGCCCTTTTCATCAGAGTTGACAACGCCCAAGAGGGGTTTAAGAGCGTCTGACAGACAGGAAGTAAGAGATGTGGAGTCATCTGTGTACAGGGAGAGGAGTCGTGGATAGAGCCCACATCTCTCTCAGTGAAACGGCACAGACAGGTGGTCACGGTAGAAACAGGAAGCCTGATAATATCCAGCAGGAGATTTATGAAGAGATGTTGCGCTGGGAAATTTGCCCAGAGACCACTTTCAGGATGATGTTGCTGAATTGCAGCTAATGCGTATATTCTATGTATATTTATAGTGTGATGGCAGAGTCACTGAGGTTACAGGAGTTCTTTGGACAAATTATGGGACCATGTTGACACAGCAGACACTTCACCCTGAAGGGCAGGCCGGCCGCAGCAGGTCGAGGACTGAGGCTGTAAAACATGAGATAAAAGAAAAGATACAAGGACTTCATTAAGATGGAGGTCAGTAACACTGGCCTGAACTCGTGGAGGCAGGGGAGCATAATCTTCCTTAGCAAAGTGATTCAAGTAGGTTATGATGTCTTCAGGGACAAACAGTGGTTAAATATCACTGATGAAATGTCACTGTGACTGTTGTGGATTTGGGCTGCTTCACATACTGTGAAAATGTTATAGTGATAGAAATGGCAATAAGGAAATCCCTATGGGCATTTTCTTATCTGTTATGTTATGAGAGAGAATTTGATTTAGGTAGTGTTACCCTCAGGTAATAACGACCTTCCATTAGCAGCGACAAGATTATTATTTTTGCTGTTTAAACTGTGTTGAAAGAATTACTCATCTGTTTACTTGACTACTACTTTGTAGAAGTACTCTTGTACAAGTGTGGTGCTGAATTCAAAATGTTCCGTTAGTAAAAGTGCAGAAGAATTAGCATCAAATTATACCTCATGTGCCAAAAAGTACTCAGTCTTCAAAATTGTATATTGCATTATCGGATGTTAATCATTGATGCAATGCATTCACGTGTTAATCACTTAATTGTTTCAGCTGTTAAAGGAGGAGCTTATTGCTCTGCAATATTATATTGAATATTTTTCAATATGGGATCCATTAAGTTAACATTACAGTATTAAAATATAAGATAGATTTATTTGATATCTGTATTATTGCTCTGAAACTTCAAAGTATAAGTTATAAAATGTATTTAGTGGAGTAAATAGTGCAATATGTGTCCCTGAATTGTAATGGAGTAGCTGGTTGAGGTGATATGGGTTAAAGGGAGGTTTGGTGTACCCTCTGGAAAACAATATTGAAGGAATGAGAACAAACAATATGTATGAACTTCATACTGTGACAGTGTCATCACAAACAGCTAACACAGGAGAATGATTGATCACCCTAAAAGCCATCTCTATGTCTTTGTTCTATTAATTCAATAAATTAACCAACCTTTCTTTCAATAACAAATTCTATTTAGGCATTACTTGTTTTTATTTGTATTACTTGAATGATTAGGCACTAATAGTTCCATATTCCCATATACGGTTTATATTGGTAACACTACTGTTCTTTGTTTTTTTTCATATATTTTTCTACACATTTTGATAAATGTCTTACTTGTATTGTTATTCTATTAGACATTATGAACGTTTAATACTCCTTTTTTATTATTGTAATATTTAATTCACGAGCAATCTCTCGGTAGGCTATTAATAATTTTAATGATTTTATTTAATGTTATGTTATCTTAAATAACGATTTACATGTCAGGCCCATTTTCATAATTTAAACCATGCAATTTATTTAATTTAACTGTAGGTAAAACTAAATGATATGAACATTTATAAAAGTCGTAGTGTTGTCTTGGTGAAGTGAAGTCTCGCGTTACCATTCCCCAAATCCCGTCCAAGAAACCGACCAGGAAGCGAATGGCGGAAATTTAGATCCACCTCACGCTTTCAGCTAACAGTTTTTGGGGCAGAGCTGTTTCTCTCCTAAATGGAGACGCCAGCAGAGTAGAAGACACATGTGTTGTTGCTAACAACGGTGGACGGGGTTAAAGAAACGATGTCTTCGCGTCCAACTACACGGCAGCATCGGTAACGTGAATGGACGGAGTGAGTCCTGTCACTGAGATCCTGACAGATTAAACACCGGTAGGTTTGACTTGCATATCATTTTTACTTTTGTGTAAACACTACTACACATGAGAGAAACGCAAGTATACAACATTGTAATTTGGTCACTAAGATGAGTTGAAAGACATCAGAAAACACACCCTTTGATTGTGACTAGCAAAACAGTAGCAAAGCAACCATATGGACTGAACAGCTGTCTGAGTTTAGGTAAATAAAAGACTTTAATATTGCATCTAGCGTGCCTTAAATCAGTCAAATGGTGGTAAGTTACTACCACCAGCAAAGATGTGTGGTTGTTAACTGTAAACTCTGGCATTAACCGCTCCCAGTGTTTACAATACCTCAAAAATGACGGCTGCAAAGATTCTCTGCTGGAACTGTATCTTTTTTCTGTCAATGTCAGGCCTATACTCTTATCACCAACCATCTATTATGTACACGTGTGGCTGTTTTTAAAGTGTGATATAACACAATTTAAATAAGCAAGTTCTTATAAATAAAATTACATTAGAAGGTAAAAAGAGTTGTTTGAAGCATTATCAAACATTTGTATCAGGAACACTATACATATTTTCAGTTGGGGACGGCCATTTCCTTGTTTAACATGTTTAACACAATGCCCCCATGAACAAAGCCAGATCCATAAAGAGAACAGTGGAAGAACTTGTATGGCCTATCGGTGCTCAACATCTCAGGCTTTTGTGGCTGAATGGGAGCATCCCTTAACCCAGGCTTTAAAATCATAAGAAAAGCGTGAAATAGTAACATGTTGATGCCCATGGTTTTGGAATGAGAACTTCATCTGTTACACATGAGTGAAGAGAAAGGTGGAAGATACCCCTTGGGGAAGTTCAAGCCTCTAGTAGCACAATCTGTATAATCATATCTGTATAAATATAGATAATAATAAATTATATGAATATAGCACTTTTTGCTTAGATTAGAGACTACCCAATATAAGGGGGTAATAATAATAACAAAGCAGCATGCACAGGGTTAAAAAAGGACACTTAAAAGTTCAATCATATCAACTTTAGGCCAAGTAGTTTGATATATTTTCCCACATGATAAGCTGTTCATTAGCCAGAGTTAAGAGAGAGGTCTCTGCCAGCAGACCTCTATATAATAAAGTCAGAAAGGGTTTTTGGATAAGCATCATTCTACACACTAACTACTTTTCATTTGCAGATTTATGGCCTTGCTCCTCAGCTAGACGAGGGAGACGACGAGAGTATCATCATGTTCCTGAAAGCATCTTTCACCTCCCTGATTGTGGGGGTGTTTGTGGTGTACGTGCTCCACACATGCTGGGTGATGTACGGCATAGTGTACACTAAACCCTGCGACAACCCCAAAGAGGACAACTGTATCACACCCTTCCTGGCAGGGAACCCCAAACTACAGGTCAGTCATGTGGGGTGAACGATGGTTCGTTTTGATTCCACTGTCCAGTAGAACACTGTGGAATTGTAAAAATGTATCTGTGTGTTTCCAGTTGAGTATCTACACCGCACTGCAACCCAATGCAGAGGGAGGACATACTTTGATCCACAAAGAGGAATCATTCGATGTCAACAGCAAGTTTGAGAGGTGGGTGGCACTCGTTTTATATAACCTTTAAATGGAAAAGCAAAGAGTTGCTATAAGTCTCTAAAATGATTATTCTCCATCCTCAGATCTGATTGGTAAAGTCAGATTCATAGCTGTACACTAACTGATCCACACTGAACTAGGGCTGCTCAATTAATCGTATTTTAATCGCAATTACGATTATGGCTTGCAACGATTACGAAAACAACGTAATCGAAATAAAACGATTATTTTTTATTTATTTTTTCAGTTGAATTATACTTAAAGTTCAGGGTAATCAACTGTTAAATACATACTGTTCAAATTTCTTTCTCCAATAAATTGATGTTTTCAAAGTAAATGGATAATCGTTTTTAATAATCGTGATACCAATTATTGACCCACATCATCGAGATTATGATTTTTGCCATAATCGAGCAGCCCTACACTGAATCCAAATGCCTTCATTCATAATTCAGGTGAATGCATATAAACCTTGCTAAGAACTGAAACCCATGTTGAGATTATTACACTTGACAGACTGATATTTAGATTTTTTAAGAGAGGACACTTTTCCAAGGACTTGTGATTGATGCATAAGCAAACATACGTCATATTCTTATATACAGTATCTAAATATCTTCCTCCCTTCATCCTCTTCTTTCTCCAGGTAGTTAAATGGTCACCGGGTCTTCCGCTAAGAAGACCCGCACATGGAACTTTATATGCTGTTAATATTTGTCCATCACGCTTTGCGTCACTCCGTGGCAGGATCCGCGACGGTCCACTTGGTGGCTCTCAAGCTCACCACTTCATGGTGCCTAAACTGCCTGAGATCTCCCTGACTATCCGGAGATGATCAAACCCCATGGTACTGACTTAATTCATTGTTTTTCTGAATAAAGGAGTGTTAAAGGGGGCATAGGGACGCTTTAGGTGGCTATTTGGAATGTTTTAGATTCTCTAGGTGCTAATCTGGCATTTCATCTTGAGAGTCGTGTTCTTTGTCTATGTGATCACACCAGGTCAGAAAGAGAGAAGGCCCAGCAGAGAAAGGTGAAGGTGACCTGGCGCAGCTCCACTTCCATAGGCTGATCACCCAGTTTCCCACTGGCGCACCGCCTCACATTACATTGGTTGGCGACCCTTCGTTTTCGACAGAGAATCCCTGCCTGTGACGTCCACGATACCTCAGAGTGTATAGAACACGTCGCGAATACAGGTATCGCAGAAACTTTGCAGTAGTCACTTTTACGCACGGATATTGTACCGCTCAATAGAGAGAGCTCGTGCGCTTAACAGGTCTTGTCTTTGTAGTATTTTTCCGATTACCTTACCTTTGCGCACTCTTGCTTAGAGTAGGTATGTCTTAGCACTATTTTATTTGTTCTATGTTCTCCACCTTATATGTTTGCTTTTACGTGGTGTGGAGGAGTCGCATTTAGTTTTATTTAACTAAATGAGTGTTCGTTATGGTGTTTGTATGGTTGTGTTCACCATCGGGTGTGGTTTTCTGTGTCTTCATTTGTGCACAATGGGTTTGCTTGGGTTATTAATAATCGTTTTGTCATGATTCGGTTTGTCATCCTGTACGCTAGGTGCAAATGACAATAAGCCTTGAAAACTTGATACTCCAGTAGAATTGGAAGATAAACTCTGAGGGGTTGTTGCGGAATTTAAATTGGCTGATGTGGTCAGTGTGGAACTTTATTACCGTACTGCAGGTTTAACGGTGGATTTAACGGTGTGTTGGGCATCAGGTCGATGGATTAGGGATTTCTAGGCCTTGAAATCGGTTGCAGAGTCTGAGTCTATCTGATCACTTTTTTCGTTATGTTTCTTGTTTTTCAGTTCTCTGTGAGGGTAGAGATGGTTGTTACTTCTTTTGTCTGTGGTTGATGAGGCTCAGTTCAAAGCCCGGAGTGATAGGTGTGCCTGCAGATGTAAGCTACAGTATAAATGTGATAATATGTCTTAGGTACGTCTTTTGGTTAAGGTTTGTGTTGCGGGTATGGTATGTGTGAAGGAACCTGTTATGTGGGTATATTAGGTCCAGACTGTTATATATTCAAGGCGTGGCACTTGTTCAGACCAGATACTTTTGTTTTGTCATGATATATCTGCTGTAACATGCTTTTGTTATTTTAGATGTTTCAGTACTTTTTTTCTTTGCCAAAATTGTGTCCTGTTCTAGGATGATCACAATGTTGGAAAATGTGTGGACTCCATCTTTTGTAGAGATATAGTGTTTCGATACAGTGGGTTAATTGTATGTAATGTTTGGCTTCTTAATCCTTTTTGTGTGTGTATTGTGGTGTATTTGCAGGGTCAACAGCACCTCCGGGGGGCTGCTCCTCTGACATTTCTACGACGCTCGAATCTCTCTGGAGGCTGTAGTTATTCATGTGTAAAAGGGAGTTTGCGTCATGAACTACTGTGCTAAGAACTAGGCATGTTTTCTCTCTCTTCGAGTAGAAGCAGTTCTTTTCGAGTGTGTGTATAATCAGTTACTGCACTGTACAGGCACCGATCGTGTATCGCACGCTCGACGAGCATGTCTCGCTGAGGCGCTATGGACTCTTAGTGGCACGCACGCACGCAGCCTGCTCTTAGTTAACCGCACGCTACGCACGAGTATCGAACACACCACTCACTGCACTATTCGCTATCAACTACTGAAAGCAAACACGGATTGCGATTCACACACACTTTCATCTGACATTAACACTAGAACAACCCCCAGCACACTTACCAGCAGCATGGGACCACACACACAAACCCAACACACACATACTTCTACGACCACACACACACAGCCAGAGCACTCACACTCACACACACTTCTCCTGTGTTAGCTGTTATCGTGCTGACCTGTCACCACCACACACAACGTATCGCACACACGCACATTCAATCACACATACTTCGACTATTGGCTCTAGTTATTACTATCGCATATTTTGATCTCTAATATTGTTCTAGGTAGGGGTCTATTCTCTACTTTGCTAGCCGTTTTTCACAGAACCATGAAGACTAATGTGCGCGTATGACGTCTACCCAGAAGTATTCAATGTGGCGACAACCTATTGCACCTGTACTTTCTGCTGGCTCTTGACTTTACTTTTGATAGTTTTCCGCTCTTCCATTGTATCCGCTTGTTGCCATCACGCTTCCGCGCAGGCAATTTACACTATAGTAGAAATATAAAAATAAATCGAAGTATAATATAATCTTATTATTGTATAAATGTCTAAATATGTAACTGTTAATGAGAACATTCGCCAACATTCTACCTATACGACAAAAAGTTTGTATAACACAACCAATAGGAGGCTAATCATAGATACAGCTATAATCTGTATTTCTCAGGTTGGCTAGGCTGTTATCGCTCCTTTCGAATTGATACAGTGATTGAATGAACATTAAGTGACAATAATTAACTGGTGTACGCTCGATTGATCATGTTTGATTACAATTTATGTCTGTTTTTGCTGCTCTATTTNNNNCAAACACACACACACACACACACACACACACACACTCTTTCAAACACTGACACACACACTCTCAAACACACACACACACACTCTCTCTCTCAATCTCTCACACACACACACACACACACACACACACACACACACACACACACACACACACACACACACACACACACACACACACACACACACACACACACACACACACAGTAAAAGCTTTGAACTCTAATACAATGTCTTGCTGTTTGTATCTCTATTTGCAGGTTTCACAGAAAAGGATGCGGATGAGATCAAAGGAATCTTTGTGGACACCAACCTGTACTTCCTGGGTCTGACTTTCTTTGTAGCCGCCTTCCATGTAAGTCCTCACCTCCGAGCACCACATTACAATAGAATAAAATAAAGAAGAAAACTGTATAATGCAAAAGTCTGAACATTGCACCATTCTCCAAAACAAAAGTTGTATAACCACCAAATAGAGGATCATAAGAAGCAAATCTGTATCCGGTCGTTGCTTTCATCCTTCAGAAAAGATAATGAATGACAAACAATAAAACGTCGCTTGATACATTTATGTCTTTTGCTTTTTTAGCTCCTCTTTGACTTCCTCGCGTTCAAGAATGACATCAGCTTCTGGAAGGAGAAGAAGAGCATGGTGGGAATGTCCAGCAAAGCAGGTAGATGACTTTGTTGTCGTTAACAACACAATATTGGACAGTTAATGATGTTTGGAGGTTCACTTGCTATACAGGTGACTGATTGGGAAACGAATTCAACACAGTATGACACTGTCAGGCCTTTAAAGAAAATGTGCAACACAAGGGAATCCATAAGAAACTAAGCATCAGCGGTGTGTGGAGTACAATCTGATTTAGTGAGTCTGGAGTGCTTGGTGGTCTGATGTTGAATTATTTTCAAAACAGCAACAAAATAAGGGATCTCGTCTGGTAATATCAAGAATGAGCCATATGCAAAAGGCTGTGAGGCGTATTTCACCCACATCACTATAAGCAAGAAGTACTGTATGTATATACTTCTAAATGTTAGCCAGTCTCTTGTCCTGTACTGGAACTATGCATGTCCACAGGTGTGGCTCTATGAAGCAACTTATTCTGTGGATTTTTAAAGTAGAAAATGCTAAAACATTGGTGTTGACAGACGATGATCAGTACTCTCCAAATGAATCAACCTTTTGGAAATGTACTGAAATGCATCTATTGCTGTGCAATCCAAATAATGTGTGGACCTAATGATGACATGTTGTGTTTTCTTTCCAGTGCTGTGGAGATGTTTCAGCACCATCGTGATTTTCCTCTATTTGTTTGACCAGCAGACCAGCCTGCTGGTCCTCATACCTGCGGGCATCGGCTCTATCATTGAAGTTAGTACAGAAACACACTGCAAACACACACTGCATGCACTGAGAACTACATAGAAACATGTACTTTTTTGATGTAGTCTTTAAAAATAAATGTTGTATTTATTCGATCTATTCATGATATTTTTGTGGACATTTTTCATATTTATTTGTTGCAGGTATGGAAAGTGAAGAAGGCCTTGAAGATTCAGGTGGTGTGGAAAGGAGGCAAACCTTCATTCCAGGTGTGTGTGTGTGTGTGTGTGTGTGTGTGTGTGTGTGTGTGTGTGTGTGTGTGTGTGTGTGTGTGTGTGTGTGTGTGTGTGTGTGTGTGTGTGTGTGTGTGT